TTCATTGGTTATTCATTTTAAATGAGGTGTCAACTCCACAAAGCTTAAAAAAGCTGAGGTGTCAACCTCTGGAGAGTTTCAAGGGTTTTATTGTATTGATTATTTTAAGAAGTAGAATCATTTTTCTCAATAATTTGCGCACATAAGAAATTTAAAGTGGCCGAATTAAAACGTTGATATTTGCCTTTACGAAAAAAGGTTGATGTTTGCCTCTCTTTTTTTGTTGTAAAGCATGCTCATATTATTTTTTCAACCGTTTAAAAAAGAATGTTATAATACATTTTCCGTGGGCCAATATTCCCATATACAAACACAAATTACACCAATTATATATGCTTTAAACTCTTGTGCTACACATTTGTAGCTTATTGTGTTCGTTCCCCGAACTTGTTCCTTCTACTTTAAATTGAATAAATACTCTTCTTCTGCAAAAATTCGATGGAAAGAAAAATCGAATCTAGCACATTCGAAGTTAATGGGAAACAACCAGTGCCGGCTCAGATATAGGGGCGGGCGGTGCGACGGCCAGGGGCCCAATCCCGTGTTCCAATAATTAAAGGGCCCATTTTTAAAAATATTTTTATAAAAGTATTAAAAAATTAAATTACAACATAAAAATAAAATTTATAAGGGCCCATAAATTTTTTTATTTACTGTTTTTAGTTTTGGTAATTAAATTTTTATTAAAAATATCATACAAAAAATTTTTATAACACAAAAACACTATAAAAAAAAATTCTAAGGGTCCAAATTTTTTTTTGCCCTAGGGCCCGTCAAAGTATTATTGAGCCGGCACTGGAAACAACACTTTAGTTCGATCCATTATTCTTTTACCATTAGTAATATCACTTATACGAACATATATGTGTTGTTTCACGTCACTATCTTTGGTTTTAGTGGCATGTTTAAACATATAGAATTCACCGCAGATTTAATTTATCGACTAATTAGAAATTTATCTCTATAAGAAATACATTATATGGGATGTTAATTAAACCTGGATTAGTGGCATATGCGACGTACATTCTATAGAATATCAGTTTGACAACTTAGTGAGAGACTGAAAGCAGCTACAAGGTACAGAACTTTCGAAACCGATTCAATACTTTAACTATGTTTTAGCTTTCAATACTTTCAGCTTAAATATTACATATTTACATCCATTGTAAAACAGTTTTTTGGATTTGAATAAATTTTACATTCAATTCAAAGAAAAATAAAAAAAGCAGCCATATAATGTGATCCGAGTATAGTTATCGATGCAAAATTTTAAATTTGATATAATTGATTTGATGTCACATTTGATACCGATGGTTTATCTTCAATATATACTTTTCTCATCACACTAATTAACGAGTTTGAAATTACAAAATATAAAATCTTGTAAATTAGCAACATAACATAGTGATTTGGAATTTTTTTTAAGAGAAGTTTATGAAGACATCTTATATTTGTGAAGGCTTCTTACGCATCTTTGTAGAACGATTCGTTTGTTATTTGATCTCAAAACCTATTTTTTAATTTGATCTAAAAGTTTATAAAGCTTAAATCAGTACTTTGATTCGAACAACTATAACTTTTAAATTTTGAGATATCTAAAGACTTTTATAATGAAATAAAAAGACTGAACATAACATTCATAGTAGCAACTAGCAAGAGATTCACATTTCTCACACTCACACTCACACTCACAAAAAAACCGAAAAGATAAAGGGGAAGAAAAAGCTTAAAAGCTACTATTATATACAAAAAAGAAAAGATAAGAAAGATTTGTAAAAATCCACAAAAACCCATCAACTGATTTTTTTTTATAGAACTGCGTGAAGAATAACTCACCCTACAAGCAACCCTTGCGTTTTGGCTTTGGAAAACTGAAAAAATATTTCAAAGCAAATTAAAGTACATGCAAAAGTAAAAGGTTAAAGTAAAAGTGTAAAAGTGTAAAAGTAAAAAACAGAAAAACAAAAAGTGTAAAAGAGGCGGCAAATCTTCGTCGGAGTGCGTTTATTCTTTCTGCGATTTTCCCCATTGATCATGTGGACGACCTCATTCCTCCAACTCCCTTTATACTCTGCCCACAACCTCATTTTATTTGTCATTTTTTTTTGCCTCATGTCATATACCATGTATATATGCTACACAATGACAAATCTAATTTGGCGAAAAATTGCCGTGATCGATGAATACTTTGTAAGAAAAAAAAAAGACAAATCTAACTTTTTATGCTATATAGTTTAGCTATACCAAAAAGAACTAACCTTTTGATTTTGATAGTGTATAAACATCTTACCATATATTTTCAAATGGCCGAAACTAAAATAACATTAATTGTTTGATTTTCTAAAGAAGAAATAATGAAAAAAAGATATACAATTTTTCATTTGAAGATTGTTTTATTCTTTTCGTTCTATTACTTGAGAGTTGAGATAATTTTTCTATCATGTATGTTAAGTTTTTAACTAATTGAATTAGACGATTATTTTAATATGAAGCATATGTGAGACAAAGATATATATTACTTCTATTTCTATATATATTACTACACCGTATGACTACTATACAACATACTTTTGAAATACTTTTGAAATTGATACATCACCAAATTCAGTTTATTTCCATTTTTGTAAAATTGAGAGAGGATTTTAAAATATTGAAAAAAATAAGGCTGAAAATAGTAACTGTGATGGCCCAACCGAGCAGGGCGAACTACGAACATGGTACCATTATGTTCGCATGTGCCCACGTAAAGGATATGCCATGTTTGGTCACGGAGATTACATTATCATCATGACGAAATATCGATATCCCTATATTATTTTATACGTGATATTGAAGTTGGAAAGAATCTGGGCTAAGTTTAAAAGCCCAAACCCACTAGTATTCATTTAATTTTATTTTTTTTAAACACGATTCGTTTTTTGGTCAACTACAACGCAACTCCAAAACGCACACAGATGATGTTTCACAAAAAATGCAAGATGGTTATTTTGGAACAAAAACTTAATAGTATAAGACTTTAGGATATCTTTCTATTTTTAATTATAATATGAATTTAAAGGGTCAATTAACATATAAAAAATACTAGGAAATCAAATACATGTATTAAATATAATCATGGCCGGTTCTCAAAAATACCACTAAAATATAATATGGATTTAATAGAGTAAGATTTTAAGATATCTTTCTATTTTTATAATATAAATTTAAAGTGTCAAATAATATATAAAAAATACTAGGAAATCAAATACATGTATTAAATATAACCACGGCCAATTCTCAATAATACCACGAAAATACCATCATTGAAAAAACTATACCGGGGTTGGTCACAAAAGAGTTTACCATTCCTTCCAAATTTCCCATTTTTAATTTCTTTGAATTAACATATTAACACTAAAATGTATATACATGGATGTGACTATGTGAGCTTATATTTCATGGGGCCAGTCCATATTCTGGTCTAACGGTCAAACAACCACATGAATGACGATGATGTGTGACAATGATTTAAATAAAAATTGAAATGATCAATTTCAATGGAACCGGAACCTAAAAACTAAAAAGTTGAATTCAGAATTGAGAACCTTTCTTCAAACGACGTAGAAAAATACGATCACGTGCAATATCAACCGTTTTCATTTAGTAAACTATTGATTTTATTTCTATAACCAAACGAATCTTGGGAATGTCAAGTGTAATAGTCATTTAATTTAACAAATTCACAATAACCAATTATAAGTATCTTGGATTGGATTACATATTCAGCATTCTCCAAAAAATTAGTTTACTTTTTACATCAGTCCATATATATTAAAAGAGTATTTAAATCCTCAATATATAGACTAGACGAATCCTCTTACTAATATGATGTGCATTAGATAATGTTAAAAAAATATTTTTTCCAACGACAAGAAAAATTAATTAAAGAGGTATTTGGTCCTACAATACCATTATTAAGTGCAGTTCATATACTCCATCTTGCTAATGGTACTTAAGGTATGTGAATTGCACTTAATTATAGTATTCTTTTTGAAGATGTTGGATCTGATAAATATCCAACCTTTTCCAAGGCTATATACTGTTTAAACTTATGAATTTTAGGATACAATATCTCAAAATCATCTCGAAAATAACAAAATACTTCTTGTGGCCTTTTTATTCTAATATCTTTGCATGGGAGACGAACTGAAGTGTTTTACCAAGAGATTAATAGTTATCGAGATTAATGAGTCAATAAATTTTATAGAGCAATTACATATTTGAAGAAAATAATGTATGTTTTATAGTCAATTACATATATGAAGAAAATAATGCATGTTTGACTCATACAAAAGAATAATACATTTTTTTTTTAAAGAATGATACATTAAGATCAACATGACCAGCAATATTTCTTCCAAAGTTTTTTCGGAATCAAGAACTTGAAAAAATCAAAGGCTTTAGAGTAAAATATGTTCGATCATTTTAAAAACTGTTTATAACTAAACCCTTTACAAGTCCATCATAATATGATGTTTTTTTTTGCTAAAGATCATGATATGATGTTCACGAAACAAGTATAAGATATTCTTATTTGACTAGATGTTAATTTTTCATGTCAACTATATTATTTTAAATTCAGATATTCAAATATTATATAAATTTATCATGATAAAATAATTAAAATTTTTATTTGTGAGACTAAAAAATGTTTATAATTTCAAATTTATCGTGATATATTTATAAAACTATTCAAATTTGTTCTTCGGAGAATATTGTCTAATATGGAATTTCTCAGACGGAAATAAGAACCGCGTAGAGTGATCTCACGATCAAAAGATTATAGAACACATGAATTTTCCATGTGGTCAACAATGGTTAACATCCACTGTCGAAATAAGATTTAGTATCAAGATTGAATAAATAAATAAAATAAACGTGACAAAAAACATAAACAATTAGACCATAAATATATCCACACTTCATTTCTCTCTTCTCCATTCTTCTCTCAACTCTTTGCCTCCCTCTCTCTTTCTAGCTCTATAGTAATTTACGATCAAATGGTTGAACGAAAGAAGTACCTATTGTTTCTAGCGACACCGGACTCGGAGTTTGCGAAGAAGACATACGGAGGATACCATAACGTGTTTGTTTCACTGCTTGGCGATGAAGGAGAGCAATGGGACTCTTTTAGAGTCGTGGACGGTGAGTTTCCAGACGAGAAGGATCTTGAGAAGTACGATGGATTTGTAATCAGTGGCAGCTCTCATGATGCTTTTCAAGACACTGATTGGATCTTGAAGCTCTGTGATATCATCAAGAAACTCGATGACATGAACAAGAAAGTCCTCGGTATTTGCTTTGGCCACCAGGTAAATTAATTCTCCTCACGTTTTTAACATTTATTTTATTTTTCTCTTATGTTCATGGATTGAAAATTCAGATTAAAACCTAATTTGCAATGAATATTTGTGTAAATTAGTTGTTAATGTATAAGTTTATCTACTTTTGAAGTCCATGTGTGTGTGTGTGTGTGTGTGTGTGTGTTTTTTCATGCTCATGGTTTGGAAGTTTGGATCAACCTAATTTGAAAATGAAATATTTGTGTATAAATCTATTTTTGATAACCAAGCGCTTTTAGGTTCAGAGAAATTATAATGATTTTTATGAATAAGAAATTAGATAGCTCTTCTTATATCGTGATTGAATTCTTTTTAATGCGTACGTAAGAATATAATCATATAGTTGTGAGTGAAAAAATTAGATAGCTTCTTTGAATGGTTCTTGTTTGGATTTTTCGTCAAACACACAAATGATCACGTAAAAAATATTTGTCTTTAGATGAATAATTATAAAAATTATACTCCCTCCGTATTTTAATAAGTGTCGTTTTAGAATTTTTATTTTTTTGAATTGGATGTCGTTTTCAAATTTCTATGCAAAATTTCTTACTTTTTAATGTTTTATGACATCATAAAACATTAAAAAGTAAGAAATTTTGCATTGAAATTTGAAAACGACATCTAATTTAAAAAAAAAAAAAAATCCTAAAACGACACTTATTAAAATACGGAGGGAGTATATAGCTATTTGAATGGTTCTTTAGTCAATCTAACAGTTGACAATTTGATATGGAACCTCACATTTCGTATAAGTATTAGCTAAAGTTAACTAATTATTATAATTTAAAGAATACAATTATTGGATAATGTCCAGCTAATAGCTAGAGCGAAGGGAGGCAAAGTAGGGAGAGCAAGGAAAGGACCAGAGCTTTGCCTTGGGAACATAACCATCGTGAAAGAGGCAGCGACGCCGGAAAATTACTTCGGTGAAGAAGTTCCGGCGAATCTGAGGATCATAAAATGCCACCAGGATGAAGTTTTGGAGCTGCCTCAAAATGCAAAACTGTTAGCATATTCAAGCATGTACGAGGTAGAGATGTATTCAATCGAAGATAACTTCCTTTGCATTCAGGGACATCCTGAGTATAACCGTGACATCTTGTTCGATATCATCGATCGTGTTCTTGCCGGCGGCCACATTAAGGTTTTTTTTGGTCTCTCCTTTTTTGTTTATGTAGAATATCCATTTATTTATGATTTGTGTCCTAGAAAAATTGCTATCTACCTAATTAACTTAATAGTATGTATTAACTCGTTTACGTTAGTTTTTATTTTAGTGGTCAGTTTCATTTATATTAACTCTAATATGCAGCAAGACTTTGCCGAAACGTCAAAGGCAACAATGGAAAAGAATGAAGCAGACAGGAAATTTTGGCAGAAAATTTGCAAGAACTTCCTCAAAGGTCAACCCTCCTTATTAGTTTGACTCACAAATCTTCATCACATTTTGTCTTACACAATATTTATTTACACTTTTGATTAATATTCCAACTCTATGTATCAACTTTAATCATATTATTATTTGTAATGTATGACATATTGATGTGTTGTACTTGTATCCATGATATAATCAACTAAAGCTTTACTCTCACTAACCCATAAGCTTCTTTATACTCCAAAATTTTTTTACTAATTACAGGTTTCAAGTAATAATTTTACGCAACACGTACTGAAGAAGTTATTGGAAGATAGATTTGTGTAGAGTTTATTATTAATTTTTAAAATTGAGAGAATTTAAGCCGTTCACACATAAATTTTCTAAAATTGAAAGAATTTAAACCGTTCACACATTAATAATTTTTTTTACGCAACACTGCTGAAGAAATTATTAGAAGATAGATATGTATATATATATATATATATATATATATATATATATTATCTTCAAAAGTCAAGCAAAATATTCAAATCAATTATTTATTATTATTTACAAATTAAAAGGTATTCTTTTTATTTATTTCTTTTATAGTAGGCTAATTAATTTTCCCCTATTTCCTACTAAAACAGTTGTGTTGATTTCTATAAAAGCTTTGACTAGAATCTATCATTAAGACATAAAATCAAAATTTTCCATTTATGCTTTTTATGTCATTAAGTTCTCTCATAGTCAAACACTCAATTCTAAATACAAGTAAATAATTAAATATAGGAAAATCTGTCTATTCCTTTTTTTATTATCTTAACAAAATATCCAATAATATTACAGAATATAATCCATCTAGTTTGTTACTACAAATCACAATTCACAACAGATACGCAACAAAAACTCTCCAGTTGGCTTCTGTTACGATCTTTCGCCGTCTTTAAAAAAACACAAAACCTTTTTCGAGTAAAAACAACAAAAATGGTTAATGAGCAAAAGAGATTTGCTTTGTTTCTTGCCACATGCGATTCAACGTTCGTGAAGAAAACCTATGGAGGATATTTCAACGTGTTTGTTTCGACTTTTGGTGAAGAAGGTGAGCAATGGGATCTGTTTCGAGTGATCGACGGTGAGTTTCCGGACGATAAGGATCTGGATAAGTACGATGGTTTTGTTATCAGTGGAAGCCTTCATGATGCTTTTGGTGATGATGATTGGATCGTTAAGCTTTGTTCTCTTTGCCAAAAACTTGACGACATGAAGAAGAAGGTTCTTGGTATCTGCTTTGGCCACCAGGTTTGATCTGATCCGTTGAGATTTATGTTGGATCGTACTTGATTAGGGGTTTTTGAAAAAATCCATCCTTTGATAAACCCATTTTCTTTTCACTCAGATTTATCACTCTTTATAGACTATGCATTATCAAAATCATAGAAGATAATTTGGTTGATGTGAATCTGAATGTAGTTGAAAAATTTCGTGTCTCATAAACCGCTATCTTGTAATGCTATTAAAACCCAATATTATTGTAGTGCGTAAAAGGGTATTTTAGCTATCTATTTTAATGAAAAACTGTAACCATAACATGTAGCGTAGCCTAGTGGTTTGTGTTAATATCGTCGTTGGGTTTATACTTCAGAAATGTGAAGTGTTCATTGATCTCTTTCTTTCACATCCAAATAAAGTTATTTGCTTCTTGATTTTGATGTTGGTTTCGATGTCTTAAGGTTTAAATTCTTGGCATTGTGGATTCTTTATTTGCTAGAATCTGAAATGGATATCCAAAACGATCTTGAATGTAGTAAACTATTGTGCAACAATTTGATTTAAAAGATTAGTGATGAATGATCTGTTGTCTCTGTTGTTGAAAGCAGATACTAAGTAGAATCAAAGGAGGGAAAATCGGAAGGGCGAGTATAGGTTTGGATATGGGACTAAGAAGCATAACAATGGTTAAAGACGCGGTGAAACCGGGTGGTTACTTTGGAAGCCAGATTCCGAAATCACTAGCCATTATAAAATGCCATCAAGATGAAGTTTTTGAACTCCCTGAGTCAGCCACATTGCTTGCTTATTCAGACAAATACAAAGTTGAGATGTGTTCGTATGGAAACCACTTCCTAGGCATCCAAGGTCATCCTGAGTACAACAAAGAGATTCTTTTCGAGATCATTGATCGCGTCGTCAATTTAAAGTTGATGGAGGTTTGCTTCTTATATCTTTATTCCATTGTCTTTAGTGTTTCTAGTTGGAAGCTTTTAACGTTTCTTTGTTTGTTTTCTCAGCAAGATCTTGCGGATAAGGCGAAGGCAACGATGGAAAACGCGGAACCAGATCGGAAGCAATGGCAGACTCTCTGCAAAAACTTTCTCAAAGGAAGATCTGAGCAAGTTTAAACAATGAACAAAAGTTGTAGAATTGCTTGGAAAAAACTTAAAAACAATTTCTATGTAATAATAAGATTAAGGGCAATCACAAATAATCCTTTATATTACAGTATGTGTCTTTAAACAACAACAAATATATTTTGGATCTTTGAGTTGAAGCATTCTTAGAGATTGTGTACAAGTAAAAAAAAAAAAAGAATTCTTGCGGTTGCGATATTCGATTTAGTTTACGGTCAGTGATCTTCAGCAGAGAAATCTGGTTCTGGAGGTTTCTGAAATTTCACCAATTCTTTAGTAGATGACAACAACAATGTTGATTTTGCAGTCCGGTTCTTGTGAACGCTACGAAGTGCATTTGCCGCAAACTTTGAAGCCAAGAACGTTGCTCTTATGCTATACGGACTTCCTCCTGCTATAACTGATGCTGCTGCCGCTTCTTCTTCTTCCTCTTCTTTTCTAAGTTGCTCCAGTTTCTTCCTCTTTATGTACCGTCTCCATGCGGCTTGCATGAAGCAAGCGGCCCAAGTCCTCCATTGCTGTGAATAGAATCTGAACGTGTGTTGTACTTGTCTGCTATGAAGTCTCCTAAACTGGCTCGCCACGAATTTCAGCTCATCGGCTATCAGAGCGAAAGCTTCTACTTCCGTTAAGGCCTTCACGGTTCTTGTTGAGGATGGGAGGTTAGAACCGGATTTGGGATCAAGCGCCCATGTCAAAAGTTCGTCACCGCAGAAATCTCCTTCTTTAAGTAAACTCCGGTTGTAGAATCCGCTTCTCCCGCCATCAGTGGTTACACTCTCGAGCCTACCACGGATTATGAAGAGCATCTCATTGACTGGGTCTCCCTCACGAACCAAGTAAGACTTCTCAGTGAACAGGCATGGCTTCAGCCTCTCACAGATTGCATCTAGCAGCCTCTCATCCATATTCTCAAACAATGGAACCTTTGCCATAGGAAAACGAAAATGGATTTAAAAGACTTTCAAAAAGATGTTGAATGGAGTGAAGTACGATAAGAAACATACTCTTCGGACTAAGGCGAGACAGAGATGACGTTTGATATCTCTTCTAAGATCCTTTGGGAGGTTCTGAACAAGATTCTCTTCATCAACTCCACGTGTCTCCAACCACTTGTACTGATCATATCGTCTGACCCGTTCCCGGAGTTCTGGTGGAAGCATTCGATGATGCATCCACTGTTCTGAGTCACGTCTTTTGACTCTCATTTCTTCTAACCGGATGGTAAGTGATTGAAGATAAGTCTGCGAGGAATTTTTCAAAAAGCCAAAGATCATTCTTCATGCTCACTTTCGAAAATCTTTAAACATAAAAAACCGAACAAGCTTTCTTCTTTACCTGCATGTTTCCAATGAGAAGTGCAAAGAGCAGAAGTCCAGCAATAGCAAGTGTTATAGAGAATATAACCTCTCCAGGGTATGTGCTGGTTTCAAGCCCTTGACCAAGTGTACTGCAAGGAGAATCGAGGTTACTTATGCGAAAGAGACTTATCGCAATGCCAAGATAACAAAATAGATTCTTGCATATTACCTAAGATTCTGTAGTCCCCACCACAAACAGAAGAAGTACTTAGAGACAAAGTTCCTAGACGAGACGATGCCAGAGGAGAGGGCTCTTAAGTAGATTCCAAAATCAAAGGGAGGTTCTTCATCCTCGGGCACATTGACAGGGCACTTTAGCTGAAGATACGAAACTTTAATATTGTCCCAAGCAGCATAACCTTGCATGTTTTGGTTACCACAAAACAAGAAGTTTCTGGTACAGTTCTGGTTATCGTTGCAAGCCTTACTCCAGCAGTCGTTATTTCGTTCTAAGGCAAGTAAATACCACAAAGCCCCAACAATCTGCATATACATAAACGTATGAGAATATATATCTTCAAAGATACAGTATGGTATAGAAAATTGGATACTGACATGACTTGCGAGCATGTAAAGCAACAAGTAGTAGGCTGCACCCGCCCAAGCAGTTTCAGCGAAGACCCCGGCTGTTCTCTTCAGTTCTGAACTTAAAGGATACATTCGAAGAAAACGAGGGATATATTGAACTAACACGATATATCTAAGTGCTTGTTTTGTCGCCAGCACATTCGCACCCCTAGAAGTATAGAGGAATCTCCAAACTATAATCTGAATAAATAGACGAAAATGATCATAAACCAATTAAACCTGGAAATCTAGAGAAGTTTGGGGTTACATTCTGTTGTTATACCTGTGGAACCGGAAGAACGGAAAGTAAATCAATGATGAAATACTGTTGGAGATACCGCTTAGCTATCTGTGCAGGGTCTATAACAAGCTCTCCTCGACCAAAAACCCGTGACGAGGGAGCAACATAAGCTGTTCTAAACCTTAGAGCCATATGAAAGAGATAAAACGAATCTATAACTGTCCTTATTGTAGTTACTATGATTGCCAGTTTCCGATCTATACCAACACATTTCGCTTTATCATTAATAAACGGAAGATACAAGAAGAGCGGATCCACGGATACAGCGAGTATACACGAAGCGACGAAAAACTTGTTGCAGAGTAAAAGAAACTTGTCTTGTGGATCAAATATCTTCTTCTCTGATACTGCAAGATCTTCTGGAAACACAGCACGCGAAACACCGAGCCCAATCGATCTACCTATAGACCAAAGTCCCTCTGATCCTTTTCTAAAACCTTTCTTAAATGATCCAGATGATGTTTTGCTTCCTTGAGCAAAACGATTAGGTCCTTGTATATTCAATGTGCATTTGTTTAAACCCGTTTCGGAACTTTGCGAGTACCTCGAGTCCATACTATCTAACCTATTTGAATTCAAGAAAACTCAAAAAGCTCAATGCTTTTCATACAAATTCATGAGATTCAAAAATTGTTATATACCTCACAAACTTCTCACGTTGGCCACTGATGACTTGAGATTTGACTCCTTTTGGGCCACAAGTATCGAACATACTCTTTTAACTCATGAATCCTAATCCTGTTTTAGAGACAAATTATCATCAAGAAGATGTAAAACAGAATCATTAGTTTCAGCTATAATGAGTTACCTAATTGGAACAAGGAGAAGTTTTTTTTTCAAATCAAGCGATTGGGTTCTGAAATTAGGTTACTTGAGCTCATTTATCATTGACCCGGATTCTAAAAGAGGGAGAAATTCAAAATCCATAAACAAAAATCGAAACTTTAGCTATACAAAACAGACTAAACTCATTTCAAGAATAAACAAAATCGAATCCAACGTCGAACAATTGAAAACTCTAATCAAGCTCAGTGACAGAGATCAGGAGGAACAAGAAGAAGAAGAAGAAGAAGAAGAAGAACTTACAGTCGAATCTGACGGCGAAGAAGAAACGGAAGAAGAAGAGAAGAGCACAAGTTGTTAAAAAAGTGAAGGTGTCTTCTTCGGTCTTCTGTCCAAAAAATTGACTTTTTTCTTCTTGCTGTCCGGGTCGGGTCCCACCCGCTTCCTCTGCTGTCTCCTTTTCTCATCCTTAAATGTAAAATAAAATACTTGTATATTTTACTTTGATTTCGTTTACTAATTAATTTTTTTACGTATATTAGATTGTCCGACGCCATGCATGAAATAAATAATTTATCTACGTACCATAAATTAATCAACAGTTCGAAAAAAAAAAATCAACAATTATGATGTATGTTTACTAAATTTTTATTCTTATGTATATATATTTTTTTCTTTTCTAGATTATGATGTTCCTTGAAAACATTCAGCAATGTCATTGATATTTAGGCATTAGTGAATTGAGCTGAATTGCTGAATCTGACTGAATTTAATTGTGTTTTTTTGCGGAATCTGGCTGAATAATTTAGATTTCAAATGGTAACCGCTGAATCTGGCTGAATTTTTTAGAAAAATTAATTAAACATATAAACTTTTAAATATACTTAATTAAAAAAAATTCAACAATATTAATAAAATAACAAATAAATATTTAATTTAAATTCTTATATACTTAATAATATTATTAAGATAACAACGTATTTTAGCAAACAAACCAATTCATAAAAATAAGGTAGATTTTGGTGGAATTCTAAATTAAGAAATTTATTAGTTTTATCAAACATAATTATCATATAAAACCTTAAACTATTAAAATTACTTATTAATTATTTTGTTATTTAGTCATTAATATGAACCTAACCAATTTCATCAATATTTATGTCTTGTACTTTTAAGAAAAGATAACTAATTGTTCTTATAATCATCACACAAACTAACTAAAAATAATTATGAAAATTATGATTTATAAAATTAAAGTATTCAGAATTTATTGGAAACATAATAATAAAAACATTATAAGCTTAAAAATATTATATAACCAAGTGATGTGACTACTATTCCTCAAGTTTTCCACAGGTTTTCATTAATGTAAATGATGTAACCAAAGTAAAATTCCACAACTTTTCCTCAATAATTCCTCAAACTAGTGTCACCATTTACACCCCATGTTATTTCTTTCAAGAAAATGATCTCTTTGTTAGATCTTATATGTTTATATAGAATCTTTTAATGTTGAATTACATCCCACCATGTAAAATTCAAAAATAAACTTAAAATTGAAGTACAAGTTACGATTGTTGAGTCGAAATTAACACTAAAAGTACTCATAAGAAAACCTATATTTAAGATTGACCATCCATTTGTTTGTCTTCCGCATAGGTCACTGGTCACATGTTGGTCAAGTTTTATGTGACCAAAGTGCGCTTGGTTTGCTGGACATTGTGATACCTTTCCAAGAGTATTGTATGACTCATCTCATCACCAACTGTCTTCATGCATTTCGACGAGATGCACAAGCTCCTCTTTTCTTCAGTGGTGGCTATGTAAGTTCACATCGTAATTAGTTGATGGTTAATAAACAAAATTTGTATCCCTAACATTTTCCCCCACCTTTCTTCTATATAACCAAAAGGGTGATGGTCTAGTGGTATCATAGAGATTGGTTTCTTTGTGCTCCGGATTCAAACGCCATTTGATACAGATGATTATATTTTAAATCAGAATATCTAAAAACTGATTTTGGATACTGAAATATTTGGCAAAAGGTGTCGTATTCATTCTCATAATGTTGGTATTTATACACAAAGTCTAAGGGCTTTCCCTTGTACATAAGATAAACCCAAATCTATAGTAGATATACATATCGAGATCCATTAAGGCCCATTACCCCCCCTCAAGTTGGCGGTGAGTTTGACGAACGCCGAACTTGGACAGTAGCTTATCAAACGCAGGTCGCGGTAGAGCTTTAGTAAGAATGTCTGCAACCTGTTCCTTTGTAGAAATATGTTCCATGGAGATGAGTTTATCTTGAACAGCATCACGAACTTGATGACAATCGGATTCAATATGCTTTGTTCGTTCGTGAAAGACAGGATTGGAAGCAATATGAATGGCCGCTTGACTGTCACAAAAGAGTTGGATGGGTCGTGTATGATGAAAGCCAAAAGTATGAAGAAGTTCCCGGAGCCACTTGATTTCGCGAAGTGTGTATGCCATAGAGCGATATTCAGCTTCAGCCGAAGAATTAGAAACAGTGTGTTGCTTTTTAGTCTTCCAGGAGATAGGAGAAGAGCCAAGAAACACTGCATATGCACTAAGAGACCGTCGTGTAAGAGGACAAGCAGACCAATCCGAATCACAATAAGCGATTAAAGAGATCTCACTATCGGACCGAAGCATGATTCCTTGAGCAGGACATCCTTTAAGATAGCGAACAACACGAATGGCAGCTTCCCAATGCGGGAGAAGAGGAGTGTTCATAAACTGGGACAGAATATGAACAATATAACTCAGTTCCGGACGGGTGATGCTGAGATATATTAGACGGCCAACAAGTCGACGATACTCTTTGGGACGCTTGAGAACAGGACCTTTGGCGGAGGCGAGCTTGTGGTTAGGTTCAACCGGAGTAGAGTATGTCTTAGCACCAAGAAGATTAGCTTCGGTAATAATATCGAGAGCATATTTTCGTTGAGAAAGAAAAATGCCGTCGGGGCCACGAGAAACCTCAATGCCCAAGAAATACTTCAGCTTGCCTAGATCTTTCATGTGAAAACACTTATGCATGTATGCCTTGAAACGTTCAATCTCAGATAAATCATTTCCCGCAACAATAAAATCATCGACGTAGACTAGAACGTGTAGAATGACTCCGTTTTGAACAAAGGAGAAAAGTGAATAGTCAGGATAGCTTTGCTTGAATCCGAATGTGCATAAGGCTTTAGCGAGTTTTTCAAACCAGCAACGAGGAGCCTGACAAAGCCCATACAGTGATTTCCGAAGGCGACAAACTTGATTAGAACCGTTAGTGTGAAAACCGGGAGGGAGTTTCATATAAACTTCTTCTTCTAAATCACCGTGAAGAAATGCATTATGAACATCCATTTGATGAACTTCCCAATGTTTTGCAGACGCAACAGCAAGAAGAAAGCGTACCGTTGTCATCTTGGCAACCGGCGCAAAGGTTTCGGTAAAATCGGAGCCTTCAACTTGTCGATTTCCAAGAGCCACTAGACGAGCCTTGTGACGTTCAAGTGTACCATCAGAATTGTATTTCAGTTTATAGACCCACTTACTACCAATAGCTTTCTTCCCTGGAGGTAAAGTAGTGATATCCCAAGTATGATTTTCTTCAAGAGCAGTGATTTCTAAACCCATAGCATCACACCATTCTTTGATCTGCGAGGCTTGGTGATAGCTTGTTGGTTCTGTGTCCGAAGTGATTGCTGCCATAAAAACTTTATGCAACTCCGAAAATTTATCGTCAGAAATTGATATAGGAATGGAGTCAAGTATCTTACCACAGACCGTTTTGGAGAGACTAGGATCAGTGAGAGGAGGAGAGGAAGCATTAGGGGGTGTAGTATTATTAGTAGTAGTAGTAGTAGAGGGAGCTGCAACATGACGAGCAACATAATCTTTGAGAAGAACAGATCGTTGTTTCACACGGTGTCCCTTGCCAAGTAATTCCGGTAAACCCGGAGAACATTCAGGTGATGATGGAGGCGTTGTTTTCGAGCTAGATGAGCTGGAAGGGATAGGCGTAGTAGGTGAAGATGGCGAAGAATCTGATGATGTGATCAATGATACCGGCGGCGAAGTCGATATTGGAGCTCTGATACCATGAAATATTTGGCAAAAGGTGTCGTATTCATTCTCATAATGTTGGTATTTATACACAAAGTCTAAGGGCTTTCCCTTGTACATAAGATAAACCCAAATCTATAGTAGATATACATATCGAGATCCATTAAGGCCCATTAGATACTAAGAGAGATTATAGGTCGAAGGTCCGGAACTCTCGCGGTTTATCAAAAAATAAAAAATTATAGATATGGTAGTGAAAATTACGAGGTTGTGGATGTACGTGGGTTAGTGCCTTAGCCTCTCTTCTTAAAGTAGGAAATTTTGAGAGTTTTTCGTTGAATCGGATGAAATCGATGACTGGTGTGTACCACGGAAGGTGGCCATGGGGTTTGCCGCTGAGGTTACCCGGATATGGATGATCATTTCCTAGGCATGGCCAATAACAAATATTGAGTATTTCACCGTGTTGTACTTACCCACAACGAATGGTGTTTCTTTTGTTTTAGTTTTAGTGGGAGTAATTGAGAATAACATCCATATCCAATTAAATAAATAATGAAACATCAATATAAAATTATAAATATTTTGGGTAGGAAGAAGAATAGACATTGGTAGGAAACTAAAACATTTTATATTTGTAAATAAATTGTTGACAGAAACAAAAGAATTGTAAATTAAATTATTAGTAATGTCATGAATGACATATTGTAAATTCAGAGAATCATTTTTTTTTTTTTTTTTTTAAATTCAGATAATCATTATTCTGCAAAACATAGATTTGAATGTATAACATGAAATTTAAACTTCAAGAGCTTTTCTTAAAAGCCTTTAACGAAAACAAGCCCAATGAAAGCAACGATCAAGGCCCAGAAGATGCCATTTCCAGCAACCAACCCAACAGCACTGCTCTTGGCCGGAGCTGGGGCCGGAGCCGGCGTAGAAGTAGGTGACTTAGGAGAAGGAGTGGGTGGAGCTGGGGCTGGAGCAGCCGGAGTAGTAGATGGCTTTGGAGGAAGAGTGGGCGTAACAGCGGCTGGTCCAGGCTTTGGCATGGGCTGGTGGTTAGGTGACTGAACCACGACAGTCACTTTCTCACCTTTAGCGCAGTTACCACTCGGAGCCCCACTTATGAAGAAGTAAGGACCAGAGACATCGAGTTTCACTGTTGTGTATCCGTCTTTGTGTTCTTTCAAAGGCTTCTCTGTGTTGCATTTTACGTAGTTTTCTTCTGTTACTTGTAACACCGAATCCATCTTTGAATCGTATTTAAACACTGTCACATGCAAAAATAAACACTGTCTTATGCATTTGTAATGCTATTCGAACCAAAACACTTTGCAGTGACTAAAATTGTATCCAACAATAACTAACATCCAGATCTTGACCATCATGACCAAACTATAAACTATGGTACGTAGCACCAATTTTTGTAAGAAAATTCAACCTACGTGAAATTTTATTTAAAATGCTTAAAAAATAAAAACCATTTCATTTGTGGAAAACCATGGTAATAATGTCACTTGATAGAACTAGCTTAGCATGTAAATCAAAATATTCAAAATCAATTAAAAAACGTCAAAAGTATAATTTTAGAAGAAAGAATTAGATCCGTACAAAGAACGTCTCCGACTTGGAACCGGACGGACTCAGCCCAATGGCTGAGACTGAGAGTGTGGTTGGGAGATTCTGGAACCTTCCATGCGTCCAATGATCCTCCCACTTCAATGATTCTAGCCTCACCAAAGTGGTAGAATGTGGTAACTAAAAGAAACATTAGTGGCACAATGTCAATCAAAGACGCCATTTTTTTTTCTACTCTAACAAAACTTACGACTAATTCTCTAATATTCTTTTTCTCTTTAGAGGAGAAAAAGTTTGGCCGTTTTGGTTTGGAGCTATATGGGGTTTTATAAAAGGTTCAAGATACTGAGGTTGGGAGGATCCGAACCAGATTTGGGGTGAAATCTGGTCTTATGTTTAACAAAAATAAAAATAAAATCTGGTCTTGTATAAATGTAATGTAATCATCTCAATTAGCCAAGTAATTGTCAGTTTCATTCTCAGTTGGATTATATTATTCTTTTTATAAAAAAAAATGTATACTCTATTTCTTAATTCGAAGGCAAATGAAGATTATATGGTTGATCTTTAATATCATATCTTTGTAGTAAATTCTTGTATTTTGGAACTAAATCAGGTTTTCAATACAAAACAATCTGTTGACATATTAACAATTAAATTTGAAGTATACTCAGTAAAATAATATCATATAGCTAAAGGGCCGGTCTGGAGGACAAGCAAGTGAAGCCATCGCTTAGAGTATCACATTATTAAATATTTTTTTTGGGAGAATTTTGTTTTTTTTACATTAACAAAAAGGCCCAAATTTTTAGTTATGCGTAGGGCATCAAAGAAAAATCTGAAACTTTGGACCGGTTAATAGCTTGATGAAAAAGTATTAGTACCTTGATATTACTATAGTAGTTAATTAAGTCGCGACTACAAAGTGTGGACTTCATGTAAGAATCTCACTCAATGATATGAAAATCTTGGTTTCGAATAGTGACACTGGATCATATGGTACAAAATAAGTAGATCGGGTTGATCAAACAAAAAAAAAATCATACGGGATAAGCAAATTATGGAAAATAGGGGGTACAAAACTAACAAAAATTGAATATTTATTCTAATGCATGCAGTGGGGGTAAATTAGTTGTTAATTTTTCTAACACTTTGAATATCCAAATTTCTTTTTAATTGTATTAATCAATAAAATTATCTAGTATGATATTTACAGAAAAAATGAAACTTTTTTATAAGAAAAAATGTAATCACATTATTTTGGAGATGGGTGTTCGGTCCGCACTAGTTGGGAGCAATTTTCCTTCAAAAATGTTAGTAGAGAAAAAGAAGATATATGTTTATATATCTAAGAAAATGCTTTATTTTATTTTTCTTAAAAATCAAATCATATATTTTATTTATGAATTTTTAGCTATTTTTTCAACTCATATTCACACAATACAAAACTAAAGACACTAATCCAAAATACTATTTAGTAAATATTAGTGAGGATGTCCCAGTAGCAACAAAATGATAAACTTTAAATAAAAACCACTATTGTTAGTTTAATATTTAACATTATTTAAAATTATCAGTTCAATGGCCATTAAGTTCTGTGTTCCAAATCTATATGTATCATTGTTGCAAAAGTATTTTTCATTGAAAGATATATATAGTTTTCCTCCTTGATGCTAACTAATGGAGTCTATAATTGTAACAACTACCGTTTTGGGGTTTACGACACATTATTCATATCTTTGGTACATTAGAAATTACACAAATGTAAACTGGTCATAATGTTACACTAAGATGCATTTTCTCTCTATATATCTCTCTCCCTCTAAGAAAGAGAGAGGTCCACATTATGACTCAGCAAAACACATTACATGAGAACCTCCAAAACCCCATCCATCCATCTATATGTCTCTTCCACACATGACACAAATATATATACATATACATAAGCATACACATACATATATCTATACATATATATGTGTATGTGTATAAAAATGAGTGGTAGTAACACGTCCTTCTTCATTCTATTGGTCTAACAAACCCATTGACGAAAAGAAGAGACTACATTGAAAGAGAGAGAAGACAAGAAATGGCAAGAACCCACTTAATCTTTCTTCTATTGGTGCTCTTATCAAAATCAACATCATCAACATCAACAAAAGAACAAGAGGAGGACAGGATCAAAGCACTCCCAGGGCAACCAAAAGTAGGATTCTCTCAGTTTTCGGGTTACGTGACAGTGAACGAGTCACACGGTCGATCACTCTTCTACTGGCTCACTGAGTCATCTTCTCATTCTCCTCATACCAAACCACTTCTTCTTTGGCTCAATGGAGGTTGGTTTTTTCTTCTCTCCGCTTTCATTCGTATATTAATATCCACAAATAGATCTCTCTATTATCTCCAATGTGAAGTATTCATTTGTTATAGTGATAAATCAATGAGAGTAAAAACACAAAGACGATGTTTAGGAAGAATTATTATTAGATTCTCATAAGAATAATGTTACAAATTCATTGATATACATAGAGATAAAAGACTAAACTTAATTTCCTAAATTAAAATTAAAATAAATGTAAATTATAGTTTAGAAATAAATGTAAATATTCATAAACTAATATATAATGTTCTTTAAACATTTCTCGATCTTCATGATTTCTGTATTTTTGGGCAATCATTTCGACCGTCTATCACAGTCGATTTCCGGTCCTCCCAATGTATTGACTATTGAGTATGTAAAACATTATGAGACATAATTATTGTTTGATAATTAAAAAAAAGACATAATTATTAAAAAAAAGAAACCAGAGAAGTTTGTAATAACAAATATATATATATATATATATATATATATATACATTTTTTAGACTATTATTTTGGACTTCATAAAGGCTATACAATATATACATTTTTTGGAGGTGGAGGTAAAAATGCAAAAATTGACGACTTTGAGATTTTTTCTTGCACAAAACTCATATTTTAAACATTATAAGAAACTTTTGTTGAGCATTGGTTATGTATATATAATGTATTTTTAGTTGACCAAAATATATTTGCTTAAAAAATATAAATAATTGCTTGTTAGCCTATAGGTACTCAACATAAATCTTGTTAAAAGAATTGAGTTTGTTTTATCTACGATTCATATCACACCCAAATTCTTTCCTGAATCTGAATGATGATGCAATCGAGATGCAATGACACCATTTCAATTCAAATTTGTGATGTAGTGAAAAAGGATTGTCATTCAAATCTCATTAACCTGATTGATTATTCTTGAATAGACTAACTAAAAGTAAAATATCAACATATATATCACTACTTTATTTTTTGTTAAAGGGTTTCTATCAATACTTTATTGTTTCATCATTATTTTAAATAGTGATTAAAGCAAATCGATGTCCACCAAAACAACATCAAGAATCCAATATGACTCTAATAAGTGAAACATGCAATTGTTGTTTTAAAAACAAACAAAAAGAAACATGCACTTATATTTTAGTTTTTATTTTATTTTATTTTATTTTATTTTATATGAATTATTCCAATTCTGCGTGCATTTGAGCAAATGTCCACTTTCTCACTAAAATAAGCCGAGGGAATAATAGTTGGAATATGCTCTTGGCTACATAAGCTTATCATTCAAAGCATGTGCATGACAACGACAAGAAAACATGGATATACTATCTTTTCATATAAATTAAGCACATACAACAAAACTAAAGCAAATGTAACTAACCATTATATAACTAACTAAAACATGCACTAGGACCAAAAACATAAACTCTTTTATCTTTTAGATTCTATTATACTGAGTGCAAACTCTATGCATGATTCACCTGGTCATTTGAGCTGCGATTTCGGTGCTTCATATGTGGTAAGCTTGCAAAAAAATCTTTATCAACGGATCTACGTGCTTATTCGCCCACACGGATGTGGTTTATTGGTAATGGAGAATTGGGGAAAGGTAGAAAAAAACTAACTCATGTTCAATCCACCCTAGAAACAAAAATTACATTTGTGTGAAGTCTGGGTTTGGGATTTGGCCAAGTAATTCACATAGTATCCGGGATTAAGCTAACTGGATACTCCTGAACATTAGTTGGAAAGCATTTTAAACATCAGAGTTAGGCAGTATGTTAGTCCAACATCTAGGTATTGGCGACGAGTCCACATGATAACAGTTTGGTGCGTTCCCGTCAGAGCTGACAAGATCAGCCGATCGGATATATAAAAAAAATAAAATAAAATAATCTACGTACTTACTCCCAAGTTTAGTTGGAAGTTGCGGCAAAATCCGGATATTAAGATTGGGTAAAGAAAGCCTAAATAAAAGAAGAACATAATTAGTTTTTTAATCATTAAAATAATAATAATAATTAAAAGAATTACTAACTAAATAAAATCCGGGAGAAGTTAAAAGTAGGGTCATTTCATAGAGGATCCTGATTACATATAATCTAGTTTCATCTGAGGACCACAAGCAAAGAAAGCAAAGCCATGATTGGCCAAACATCTAATATAAAGTTGATCTCTAGCTCTCTGATCACTTTCAAACATCAACTTTTCAATTATTTTTCTTTCTCTTCTTGACATTCGGTAATAACGCATGACAGAAACAAGCATATATGCAATAAGTACATCAGTCGAGTTCATATCAAAATGTGACAGAAAATTGAAAACATTCAATTGCTCCTTTACCCAAAATATAATGTTTATACATAACAGAAAAACGTTTGACCTTTTAATTAATTAATGTTGTACTTATTAATGATTAAAAAAAAACATTATAAGGGAATTTATATGAAAAACAAATAGCAATTTTTGTGTATGTGATCATACAATGAATGTAACTAAAATATGCAGGACCAGGCTGCTCGTCTATTGCTTATGGAGCTTCAGAGGAAATTGGACCATTTCGGATCAGCAAAACTGGTTACAATCTATATCTCAACAACTTTTCTTGGAACACAGGTAATCACTAATTTAATTTCGACATGTTTCAAATTAGTTCTTTATTTATGGAGTTACTATGTTTTAAAACTTTTAACTATCGAATGTATTGTATGGAACTGTTTTTACATACTTAAAACTTTATAAGTTATAACAGTTTTGAATATGTAATAACAGAGGTAAACCTTTTATTTCTGGAATCGCCTGTTGGTGTTGGATTTTCATACACTAACACAAGCTCCGATTTCGAAGAATCCGGAGACGAACGTACAGGTTAGATTCAGTTTATGTATCTATATGTTCTATCTCTCAAGATTTCTACATAAAACAATGTGAAGATATCAT